TTGACAGATCACCAGTAAATTATAAATGATGATCGAGGATGCTATTGCAGTTGACACCAAAATGTGCTGTTTTCGTTCAATATTTCTGCGTACAGTTTTGACGCTGCAGAATATCCATCTTTGGTAATTTCATGAGAACCTGTGCAATTCTTTTTCAATTTTTCTAATAATTTAATGCCCAAATACGCTCTTCTCATCTGCACAGTTTCATAAAACCATCATTTATATGATAGTAATGTAACATTATAAATATGACCGTTCATTCGTTTTGAAAGTCTAAGTCCAGGACCACCTCCTTTACACATTTTTCATGTCCTTAATTGCACTGCTCTTCGTCTGTTTCCTGTACTTCTTAAAAGCACCTTTTACGTGTGGCCTTATAGCTGTATGTGTCAAATTTATAATTCCTCTGCGCTGTGTCATAAAAAAAATATTTCAAGAAACTCTTTGCAAAGCGCAGCGTTAGAAAAAATCCTCGTTTGTTTTATTCATGCAGTGTTTTTGTCCGTTTGATCCTGCTGCACCAAACCCTCCATAATTTTCGTGTCGATTCTGTAAACAACCGGTATTGAAAAAAATTGTTCAAAATAAAGCAAACATCAACCAGAAAACCAGTCAAAAAAGATCCAGAATACACTTTGCATTTTAACACGTGTAAAGAAGTCATTATTTTAAAGGCAGAAGAACATGTTCAAGTTACCATAACTGAGCTATAGAGCAGTTAAAACACGTACAGAAAACAATCAGTATAGAAATAAACAATAAAAAAAAAATATGATGCATTCACACATTTAATTGTTCTGGACCTATCAAGTATCTTGCTTTAGAATTTGTAAACAACACTTTATTATTGTGCCAAAAATAGAATCTCCAAACACAACTGCTATTCACACTGATAAGTTTATCATACGTTCTGAAATCTCCGTGCATGTCACTTTGGAGGTGAAAAATCAACACCAAGAAGATATTCCTCACGAGGACGCTCTAAAATGAATTAAAGTATTCTTTAACAAATTTAACGACGGACAAGCAGAACAAACAGCTTCGTTTTCTTGAAGAGGCTTTCTATCCAGAAATTTTTTTGAAATCTCTACTTCTAGTCCTCAATTTAGAGTTTTAAAAAGCCCAGCTTCTTTTGTTTGATCTTATGCACATTACACAAAGAAACTGATGGTTGTTTTACTTCTGTCACGTTAGCTCGTTCCTCACCGATCAACCGCAGTCATCTGTCGGACCTGTAATTTCAAACGACCAATATATTAGTTGTAAAGCAACGGATTAAAGCAGATAATAATGCCATTAGAAGCCTGTTCACTGTAAAAAATGTTGCAAAAGCAAAAACTTTTAATAATTATTTTTTAAAAGCTCATGCACTACTCGTGTACGTTTCATTATAAGAGATTACACGACCACAGCTAGTCGCTTCCCCGAGTCATCAAAACCATTTTGTAGGTATTACCATACTACAATCGCCTTGCGAGAGACGACAACCCACCGGGCCGTGGTTAGTTACAAGCCCGAATCCTCTCAACTCGAACAACAACGTCGTCGGTGCACAAAATAAAAAGAAAGGAACAGTCACCTTCAGAACATAAAATCATATCCAACAATTTTTGATGAAGCAAAACCTGTTACACTATGTTTCACAGGCACGTCTAAAAGCCTGTCGTGAAAGCAGTGAAAAGATTGAGAATTCAGAGGTCAACCGGACTGTGAAGAATATAATAAGAATGGTCAATCAAAGGTTAAGAGCATGTAGATCAAATGGACTGTAAATAACGCAGTAGAAATGGCTAAGAGTTCAGAAATCTACAGAACCGTAGACAAAGCAGTAAAAAGGATTTGTAACCGAGAAGAAAGATTAATTACAAGAAAGAAGCAAAGTAATCTATGATCATTTAATGGTTCGAGAAAATTAGAAATCCACCGAAGATGTTCTAACAACGGCAAAATAGTATACCACGGTACGAAGCTTGGATATCAAGAGATACTTGCTCGCCAAAAAAGTACAATAATAAATTTTAGTAGAAGACTGGGAAGACCAGTAATACAGACCAGTAATAAGATGTGAAAGTTGCTGTAAACTATCGAAAATTTTAAAGATAATTTAGTTAAGATTAATCTGTTTATAATCTCTGTTTAATGATCTTTAAGATACAGAATCTGTATAAAAAGAGAATCTTCAACTTGTGCTTTAGTCTGTAACTTTGTCTACTTTTTCTCGCTGTATTACTAGTACCGATGTTCAATAAACATCTTATTCGCAGAAGTTTGAATCTACATAAAGTCACGTGACAGGCGAATTCCACTTAACAAAAATACAACTCATTTTTAGCATTCTTCTACGACATAGCCTGCTCCAGCTTGGTGGCGGCATAAGAGCCCTGATCACACCCCATCTCCCTAGACTGACTCTGCAGGAGGCTTTTACAGCTGAAAAGCGCTCTGAGGAGTAAGCACAAACAAAGCCTTGAAGTATTCAAGACGGCCTTTACAAAGAAGCTTGAGAATACTGTACTTTTGTCAAATCCAGCAGCGTTCGAAGCCGAGAGGTGAAGGATATCTGCTTGCAATTCTGGAAAGATTTCATGAGTGTCACCACTCAGCAAAAAAGTGTAAGCAGAAGGAGGAAAGAGATGAATGCTAGCTGCTGTTGTGCACGGCTGCTTACCGCTTGCTAGTGGATATTACCCTCCTTGCGGAAAACTAAAAAATTAGATTGTACTGAATCATAACCTCGGTCGCAATTCAATGTAATCTTTTGAGTGTGAAGAATCTGACGTATACTCACTCCGGTGAGGAGATTTTTGGCAAAATTTAAAAGCCTCAATAGAAGCCAAATTCCGTTCATTATACAGAAATTTCCCTTCTCACTCTTTTTAGAAGAAGCGAAAAAGTCAATATAAAGTTGAAAATTAAGTAAACATAACTATAGAACTGCAAAAAAAGTATTTCAAATAAGTTTCGGCGATGAAAAGATAGTAAAGAGGTCACTCTGTGGTCAGTTTAAAAACCTCTCTTATTACATTATTCTAGTTAATGAATTCAGAGAGTTTATAGCAATAATAAATAAAGTGATAGAGCAACTGAAAAATAGGAAGGAAAACGTTAATCAAGAGATAGTTTTAATAGCAATAGAAAAAGTTAATCAGATAGACTATAGCAGATGTAAAGGCGAGAAATGAAAAGGGATAAATGGGGCAGTAAAGAGTTATTAGAAAGAAAAACCAAATTTGCGAAAGATTCAAAAATATATGTAAAAAGAGGGAAATAGATTGACTTACTAACAGCTAAAAAAGATAAAAAGATTTACACAATAGGGCGTAGCAGGTGAACTGAGGCATACAGTAAAGTATAAATCCGCTGCGACTGTAAAGACTAGAAAGCCAGGGTTAAAGATATTTTTTGTGACCATTTTCTAAAAATGATACATGTAACAGGTATTCTACGCTCTCTAATCATATAAAACGCGTTCCCCACTCAATTTTGGGTTTAAGGTGTCTCAGAAAGAAAGCATAATCAACGTTCTTGAGTTTATTCAAAAAAATTTTATTGCTGTCAAAATCATAGTCATAATACAATTTCGTATACAAACTTTAAAAGTTCAAATTTCAATGCAGTTTGAGAACAGAAAGAAATTGAAAATTTATAGCTATATTCCAGAAACCAGCCTCTCAAAACTGGATGAAGGCGCAAAATCCTAATAAAATTAATAGAAATATCCGTATCACTCAAACTCGTAAAAATATCATTACTGATCAAGAAAAAATTGATGTCAACAAAACTAAAATTCAGTCTTTCCCACTTCTGAATTCTATGTTCTATGCAGATTTAGACTCAGGAATGAAAACATGTTCAGCCCGCAGCTATAGAAAACTGTCAGATGTCTCGGACAGGATAGGTTTATTCATTAACGACTAATACAAAAAAAAAAAAAAATGCAAACACAGTAATTTGTGGAAGAAATTCTTTACACAGAAAGCTCTGACAGATACAGTTTAAATAAAGAAAACCAGCCGTAATAATGCCAATGGCGACCGCCTTTTAAGTGTCTATACATCTCTAATCTAACCAATTACTTTACATATATTCCTCAGTCGTTTTACAAAAGACTTAAAATTAGAAAACTGTTCAGCAAATCAAATTTAAGCTTCTAAATTTTCCTCACTGAACTCGACAAAAATATGTAAATACTACAATTTATAGTACACTACACTTTATTAATATAATGGCTTAGAGTGAGAACTACCACAATTATTAGGAGTAATACCAGAAGAGCGAGTTCTCTGTGCCATGAACAGAGTATAACAAGAAAAAAAAAAAAGAAAATTTTTTTCGTTATTAAACTTTCTAATGCATCGGCTTCAAAACTACATATACGTATATATCAAAATGAAATCATGACGTATGACACACTAACTGATCGACTTTATTTTTCAGTTCCAGCGCATTCTCATCTCCTTTCGCCATGCTGTCTTACCTTAAATTATCAGTGTATAAGACAGTTCCAAAATGATTTACTTGCAATAGAATACGAAAATGTATAACAAAAAATAGGAATAGATAAAAAAGCAAAATAAAAAACAACATCCAGCAAAAAAACTAGGAAATTGCTTGAGAAACACCAAAAATATGAAGCTGGCGACTCTCCAGTTACTAAAACTACAGAGAACAGATGTTCAAACGATGAAACTTACAAATTGGTCAATTTTGTCAAACTGCCATGTAAAAGATGTGTTATATAAAAATGGCCGATGATCATTCCTGTGATCATCACAGCTGTACCTTTCTGCGTGATAAGCTAAAAATTACATTAAATTAGCGTTAAAAACTATTAGTGAGGAACGAAGCTGGTCGAATAACTAATTATACTGCGTTTAGCCTTTGCTGTCTTACAGAAGCGCTTAACTGTGAAATATTTATGGAGGAAGCAAAAATTAGTTTAGAAGCTAGAAAGCGTCCTACCACCAATTATAAAACACTGCAGCAAGTTAAAAAATCAGATTAAAAGTCAATTTTTTCGTGAATTTTAAAGCTAAATTTTAAGTGCTTTTCAAAAAATAATGAAGAAGTGAAATAAATCATGTGGAACTGTGGTGGCAAACCAACCAGGGGTCAGTACAGTCGCCTTATGCCGATTCTTACCATATCTTTGGAAAAACAACTTGACCTTCTCAGCAACCTGTAATCTGATAATTAACAAACCTCATGTAGACTAAGAAACCCTCAAAAAGTGCCTCTTCAAAATTTTTGATAATATCGAGAACATTTAAACATTATTTTTTAAATAAATTCTAAAAATCCAAAAAAATATGGACAACGAACAGTTTCAATAGGCACATCTGCCCATCTCGGCAAAAGCTGCAAGAAGATCCCATATGGCCCAAGACACCCAGGCTTTCTCAAGTGACCTATTTCAGAAATCTCGTCGTAGGTCAAACCAATTTCCTCCTAGATAACAGAATTATTATTACTATAAAATACCGCTTCCGTACAGTGATGTAGTGATTTTTTGTCAAGCAATTTATTTAAAATTAGAGTGAAAAGACAGATAGAATTATCTACACCTTACTTTACTAATAACGATTTTAATACTTAAATGCTTTCACTTCAGATAATAACGCTATGCAACTCCAAGACCAGGAAGGTTATTATTAAGAAAATCAGAAGCGACTAGAAATAAACTTAGAAACAAATTACTTCTGCAGCCTCAAGCAATCAAATAACTCGTATTCACAAGTCCATAAGCAGCGCATCCAAAAACCAGAGCAGTAACAAATTATAGCCTTTCAAAGTAAATAAAAAGCACAAATTAGCTAAAGTAAAAATGCTGCTAAGTAAGACCCAAAGATGTTATACTTAGAGGCATCAAATCACTTAAGTCAGTTTCAGAAAAAACCTAACAAGAGCTGGTAACAATAGCGAAAGACATTTTACCAAAGCTAAAAACAGAAAAAAATTTAAACCCCGCATGTAAATTTAAAATTGAGTAATGAAACTCAAGAAACTCAAAAAAAGTTTGAAAACTATAGAAAAATTGAAACCTCGTCAAGCTGAACTGTTTCGCCCGCAACTGTTGGCAATAATTCTGCTGTAGGCTCTGCATCGATTATCCTATAGTAAAGTTTGCAAATTGTTCAGAGTTAAAAAATTAAACGAATATTTCGCAGTTTCTCTTAAACAGAGATGATTATGAAAACTAGTACACATCAATTAATCAAAAAAAAAATAAAACCTCAAGAGTACGTTACTTCATAGAAGACGCAGATTATTTAACAGAACTGAAAACAATAAAAATGGATCAAGTTCAACGCTTTCCGGTCAAACCAACCGTTACATAATTGAAAGTTATTTAATATACGAATACAATAACGTTGAATAAGCTAAAGCACTTTGCATTTCCACCACCAGTTATTTCGGCAATTTGCTAAGACAATTTTTTTGAAATAAAACTAGATTTTTAGCCACTTCTGTGCTATCGCCACAACAGAAGGAAATCTTAAACCACTTACTGTGAGAGCGAAGAAAGTCCCATAGTATCTCTTGCATATCTTAAAACCGATCTAAGATCTCGTTTTAGTACAGAGCCAATAGGATTCAAATCTGCAGCAGAGCAGTCATATTTTGTAACATATCCAACGAGTCTAAAAGCAACTTTATTTTCTAGTAATAAAAAATCAAAAGTCTGAAATATGCAAAAAAAAAAACTAACGACTCATCAACATTGCTCGAGCCGAGCACAAGCAGAGAACCAGACTTCTTACCAAAGTAACATGCCAGCTGAGCAAATAAATATGCTGTTACCATACGTACACGCGCTTGAACATTTTGCATACCTAGTGAGACTCGAGGTTCGTCCCACTAAAGGCAAAAACGAAAGAAGAAATTATACGCATATAATACTTAGAAATGAGAATTCAAAAGCAAATGAGCTTTGCTAAAACCAAATTTAAAAAAGAACCGGTATATTCGCCGAGAAATCGTCAGCATCAAAAGCCTTTGAGACCATCCCAGTAAACGCATCAACCGCAAAGTCTATTTCTGTACTAAAAAACAGTATCCATAAACAAAGTATAGAGGATGTAACAGGAACAAGGAGAAATCAAAGAAAAAGCTCAGCGTACCATAGATGATTTGAGCAAATCTGATTCGCTAGATCAGAGGCGTATTTTCTAGTACGCTCGGAAGAATTTTTTGACTTCATGTAACAAGTATAAAAAATCTGCAAAGAAATTAATTTCGCTGCTGAACTTTCAAGCGATAATAAGTAGAAACGATCATGATCACCTATTAAGCTAGTGTGAAATTCCAGAAATCTCCAAGACCACAAAATTACACATTTCCCACTGCCAAAAAGAGACTACCAAAAATACTCTAGCTGCCCCCACCTCTCTTTACATAACCAAACTTTTTACAAATATCTGCCTCTTAAAACTCTCGTTTCTAACACAGAGAAGATTTCTCAAGGCAATCACAACACAACTTCACCCAAAGAATTGTCTTTCGTTTAACAAGTTTAGCAAAAAGCGATGAAGATATCTGCCAAATAGTGTATCATTAGGGCTGCAAAAACGGTAAAGACAAAAGCTCTTTAATAAAAATCGAATAATTTTCCACCAAATGACATCTACAAAAACATTCCAGAAGAGAAATAAACGAAATAAAAATTATGTTTACTCACTGGTTTGCTGCAGCAATATACAATGATTTAAAAATGCCGTAAAAGCATTCAAAATTACTCTTTAAGCACTATAATAAACGTCCCACTTTTTGAAACCCTGTATAGATAAAGCAACTAGAAACTTTGCATATCCTTACACCAACCTAAGAGCTGAATGAATCAGCTTATACGACGTAAAAGTTAGATTAAACTATAGGTACGGAACTTTTTTGCATAACTCGTCAGCAGATGAAACTTCAATTAGTTCGCCGCCAATCTTGTAGTCGTCACAATTAAAATCTTCAGACTTAATGGCTGAAATATATGGCAGAAATAGGAACTTTTGAAGTAACCGTCGTTGTCCCAGAAAAAGGAACAACAGAACAACTTGTTACACGAAGAGAAGCAATACAGAAATTTTGGGCAATAAACCATAAAAAATACTTTTTTAATTTAGAATGAAAAGAAAATTCCACTTAGCTCACCTTTACTATAAGAATCAAAAACTTTTTCACACATAGCTCGAACCATTACGGCCACTGATGCGCTGTCAGCACCGCCCGAGAGCGGAAGGAAGAAACCTCGCTAAAAAAAGCTGTAATTTTAAGAATGAGTCACAAATATTATGCGATAAAACATGCTTTCTGTAAATTAGCTTATTAAGATGTCAAGAAAAAAAATGACCATTCCTGAGCGACGAAGGTAGTTCCAAAGAAATGCCGGAGGACCACTCAATAATTCTTCCTCCTTGCTAAGAATAGAAGGTTGAACCTCAGGTGATGGTAAGCATCGTTCGCCCCTGACCAAGAAGGGATGTGGAATATAAATTTCAGGGTATTTTGGCGTAGAAGCGGCCTGAATCAGATAAAGAGTTCAGAAACCAGAACTGTGATGTCACTATTACTTTGTTTACCAGCACAACTTTTTCAGTCAAATTAAAGCCTTACGTCTGTCATTGAAGAATAAATTTTGTAGCGAAAATTATAGTTTTCCTGAAGATCCAGTATAGCAGTGGCTACAGCCTGAAAAGCTGTGATTCTCGCTTCTAAGACCGACACTATATATGCAGTTTCGAAAAGATTTAGACAATGTCAAAGCAAACCACTTCTTCCAGACCAAACTGAGGTATCTGAGCATACAGCTTCCCGTTTTGAGCAATGGAAGACATACCATCGTAATAAACACGGTCTCCGTCGCAACCCCGATGATTTGAATATAAATAAATTCCACCAACCTATACTTTAAATGGAAGGCTGACAGCCATAACAACGAAAGAGTTAGTGAAATCCAGAAAAATAAAAGAAATAAATTAACCTTTGATGTGGTAGCAAGAACAAGATGGTTTATGCGATGAGCAGACTTGCCGACAACATGATGGCTAGCCGAACTATTACAAACAATGTCTACTCCATGTAAAGCAAGATCAACGTGTGGACTGAAAGAAGTAGTCAATAAGCTCACAGGAACTGAAAATTACCCAAATAACGCCTGTGTCACAGAATCAAAGCACGACACATGACCAAACTGTTTACAACTCTCTAAAAAGTTATGTACAGCTGTTGTCCTTTCCACGATACAGAAAAGAAGACAAGAACAATAGACCTATGTTACAAAAAATTTATATCACAAAACAAAATTCTAATGATGAAAAACCTAGTGTATAAAAAAATATTCCTTCAAAAGAAGAATCAGTAACAACGAAATATTAAGAAGAACGACCAGAAGTCCAGAATTCCAGAATTCTACCGGTTAAGACCAGCGACAGTAGCAATTTAAAAGATGCTTACGACTTTGTCGTCCACAATTCCTCACACATTTCGAAACCGATGAGAACACCGTCTGAAGTTCGCAAGACTGCATCTCCAAATCCAACCTAAAAGGCTGCTTCCTAAAAACCCTTGTTCTTGAGAAACGATAGACAGTGCAACTTGAAACAAAGAAAAACGAACTGTTAGAAAATTTACATAATTATTTTAAACAAGAAAGGTAAGTAAAAACAATCCAAACCTTTTCTTCGCAGAGTGGACTTCGATATTCTACAAGCTGTTTAGGATTTTGCCATCTTACAAAATAACGACTTTCCCGATAAACGTCGTCGTCGCAGAATTTCATTTTTGGACGAATCAGAAGAATCTTCCTTGAAAACTGGCGAGTAAAAACACATTAATTGTAGAAACTTCGTGCAAAAATTAATTTCCGAAAACCTTCAAAACCAATCAGCTTAATAAGTAAAAGTGCCTAACCCGTTTTGAAAAACCACGTTACAGTTGTAAAGTTCTGTGTTGAATCGGACCGGCATTCCAGTAACAATAATCATATCGCGATACTGCAAAAGATTCTGAGTGAATACACTCGGGGAAAAGAACTTAATGACATCACAGCAAAAATTAAACTACTTCAACAGCATAAAATATTAACATTTTGGAAAAAGTTGAGTTAAAGCAGCAAATTTAAGGCTAATCACTTAACCAAACCTTTGTTGTCTCTGCCAACAAAGAGTCTAAAACCTCCCACGAGTGATATTCTGTATCCATCTCATGAAAATGATCCTGACACCCATATCCGGGTATCTCAAGTTCTAATCCTACGCGTATTTTTGCGCCTTGCTTGTGTGCTTCTTCAATGCCTGAATGATAATTCCCATAATTGAGGAAGAAAGGTAATGATCAGTAATTTTTCGTTCATGTCAAGTTTAAATCAACCAAGTTTGATACAAACTTTGACACAAAAATAATTAACGTACTCCTTCACGTTTGAGCATTCTGCTCACACCGCCAAAAAATTTAGTGGGCAGTAAGAGCTTTGCCAAAATAAAGTTTCATTACAAAATTAAAAAGCTTACTTTTTAATATTCTTTTACGGTTACCCTCAAAGTCCAACGCCCATTGGTTTAGTGAACATACAGAAACGCAAACCTTACGATGCCAAAGTGATGATTCTACGTTCCCTAAAATAGAAAAATTCCACGTCGCTAACAGACCGATATCCATTTCAAAGATTTTTGAAAAACGATAGAAACATTTTTTTACCACTCTGTAAGTTCGTATTCACTTGGCTCAGCATTCTGACCTGGTGAAAAATAGATCCAATTCCTCTTGTTTCAAATGTGCGCTAGAGATTGAGAAAACTTTAAAATAAAATTTTTATATATATAGAAGCTAAGAAAAACCTATGTTCCGTAAAAATCCGTATGTATCTGAAACAGAGGTGTCAATAAACTGTCCCGATAAAACAAAGAATTACGAAGTAATACTGTGACCATTTCACTAGTACTTCATAGAAGCAACGAATCTAAAACAAACTGACTAAAACAAGAAAAATTTCTTGGATTATATCTGAGAAGCCACTGCAAAGAATTGCAAAAAAAATTTTAAAAAAAAGGCATAATTACATGAATACAACAAAATCAACCAAAACGTAAAAAATAAAAATAAAAGTTGGCTTAGATGCACCATGTCTAAAAATTCAAAGTAGCCAAACGTTCGGAATAAAGCGCAATATCACTAGTATTAAAGTTCAGCAATTGTTAAAGACCACCAAATTCAAGTTTTCAAGTGGCTTGGGCCATGGTTTCTCTAAAATTTAGTTTTTTTTCAACACCAACAGTTGTTGAGCATCTATGTGTTACTCTCAAGAAACCAATGTAACAAGCATTTCTTACAAAAAAACAAGGGCGACAAAAAATAGTGATGTTTTAATACAAAGGTTAGATAACAGTTGGGGAATTGCTATCAGTTACACTAAACCCCAAAAGAAATATATCAAACTTACTTAAACTTAAACGTGATACTGAATGAAATACTGTCGTTGACAACTGAAAACAGACTAATGCTCGGTTTACTATCATCAGAAAGGAATGTTTATGAGATGCGGAACAATGAAATCAAGAAAAAGCTAAGTGCTCCGATATTCATCAGTAGTGTAGCGCGAATGATACTGAAAATGACCACAAGTGTTCAGTGAACTATGTTTTCAGAAAGAAAACGAATGCAGTACAAATTAAACGACTAATTACACTAACACTAGCAAAAACGGTTTAATGTCAGTAATCTGATTGAAAAAGTTGGTGAAGTTTTGGACTAAATAGAAAAAATTAGATGAGTTTATATATAAGGAATTAGTGATTAATTAATAAATTAAAAATAACAATAATAATAGTAATAAAACAGCTAACCAAAAAATATAACCCAAACTTCAATAGTGAAAACACTAACCAACTTTCTTCCTTTTTTTCGGAGTTGAACAACTGTTTCAAAACAATTTTTTTCCACGTTGACCATTGCAGAGATGTATCCTCTTATAAATAAACTACGCGTAAAAAACCTTATTACTTACAGCTTTACCCCCAAATAGTTTCCGATATATACCTTCACCTATAACACTACTTGAGAAGTGCTTCTGTTTCATTACAGGCTGTCATATGTGCGACGAAATCTACACCTACGCGTCTAATCTATTTACCAGTAACGCAAAGCGATTCAAGAAAACGGCGGTCTCTCTTAATCGCCTCTCTTCAACTCGTCAAAAATTCGCAAAATTAGTAGGAGAAAGCAGTATAGTGAACAAACTAAGGGAAAACAGATTCCCCATCACATTTTTCCCCAAACTGCAATATGAAAATTAACTTAAAAATATTCGTAGTACTCTTATTTTGAACTGTCCTAGCGACTGACGTTAAGGTCTAACTGTTTGGCTTTTGTCAAAAATTTAAACAAGTGGTCAGAAGCAGCAGTTCAAGTTCTTCCGTCAGCTTTTAATTTTTTGTTGTCGATCTTTACGTTTCCAACAAAAGAAAAGCATGCTTTTTTTCATACTGGTTTTTTTTCTCAAAACATTACTAACGGTATTATGGTTACTATGGATGCTTCAATCAGCACACCAGGTTTCAGTCGTATTTGAGCTTAAATAGTTGTGATCCAGTACGGTAACCAATTCATTTGTCGCACTGGCAGGAACAACTTCTCCCCTTCCGTCTCTCACAAACTGTACTTAAATTTAACGGTGTTTCGCTTGTCACGCTTAAGTGAGACATTAAAAGTTGACGATGCGATGAAATGAAATAATATTTTTTTCGCAAACACAGTTCTAGAATTCCACAGAGTATTTGCCTGACATTAAGCTTCACATGATACCTCAAACGCGAAAGTTGCCTTGAATTGCTGCTCTTATATATCTTATATACAGCTTACGTGATCACTGTGCTCAAGTGTTACATTAAAATTCAATATAGCGATGCTCAAAGTGTTTACTCTGCTTATTCCTGCCTGATAACATATTCGAGAATACTTTTTTTCAGGAGTAATGATATCACTTCTACAGTAATATTATTGAATCTCAATTTTAAAAACAGTAAAGAGTAAAGAGAACTTCAGCCTTCATACTAGTGCAGTAATTCGTTCCCATCATATTTCATTTGTTCCTGAATATACTCGTTCCGAGCGTCATGTTTCACTAGGAACTATTGGTGCCTCCCAAATTAATATTTACAAAAATCATTAGAAACTTGGGTAGAGTAGCAACACGAATGTTCAGTACGCCTTTTAATACATTTCCACTGCTGCTGTTCTAACAGAAACTTTTCTTCAATCTTTCCGTGTCTAATACATTGCCTAATTTGATCCAACAACTTTATTAAATCATTACCTTCTGCTGTTTTATCCCATGCGACAACATGAGAGCGCAGAGACTGTTTACGAAGACTTTAGACACCCGCGTCGCACAAATCCTCAGCTGTCGCCATTTCAATCTTTTTATTTCACTTGTACAACTCCTGTACAATCCCTGTAGCCTTACTTTAGTCCTTTTCTTACACAAAGGAATCATAAGATTTTCTTTTGCTTTTGGGTGCAGAAGAAGTACCAATAAATCTAAAGTATTCAAAAACCATCTGAACCGATTCACGTCAGTTAGCATACCTTTTTCAACTAATATTTCACCAATTTTTCAAATCTTGCTGATTAGTAGAGTCCAAGCCAGGTTTAAATGACCGAAGAGAGGACCTGGAATAGTAGATCCACTGCGAAGTTATGGCCTCTCAAAAACGCAGAATCTGTCAGGTTATTTTTTGATATTACTGTCTTCCCTAATATGTACAGTTCTTGCTTTAATAGGTTTTCCATATCTTCTCTTACAGTGATGCCGTTCTCACTTTGACAGAGTCATAAATTCGGTCTGCTAAGGGGTACTGCCACAAAAGAGCCGCTCATTTATTTAAGAGACCAGGAGTAGCATTTAAACTTTGCAAAAGCAAGCTGATAAGGCTCTGACAACTGAAAGAAGTTTAACAGATTTGTCTACACTTAATTTAAAAGGTTCTAATGAAAGAATGTCTATAAGAAGAAAGGCAGATATGGAATTCGGTCAACTATTGCCAAATTTGACGAAGGCTCAGATTAGGAAAAACATAACTCGTAAAAACTCGGACTTCATTTCTAAGAAAAAGTGTATCCTGAATATTTAGCGTTCGTCAGAATAACTGGATATATCTGTTACGTATTGCGTGGGGTGGTAGTCAAGGAGTTTATTTAAAAGCAAAAGAAGATAGACGATGAACTTAGAATAACAACTGAACAGAAATTCAAAACTTTAAGGCAGTAGAGGAGCTCTTATGAGACTTCTAACAAACACAGATCAAAATGTACTCACCAAAGGTTAGAGCTTACATTTGCACTGAAGGCAAGTATAGTGATCCATACCGAACGGATGTGTTAAGACAACATTATAACTATATCTTTCCTTTCGATGAAGAGTAGCTTCCATTAAACCAAATTCTTTGACAAGATAATGGCTCTAAGCACGGAAGTAGCCCTACCAGAATTTGGTTACCGAAAAACCAATGCTCCTTGGTGGCCTGCTTAAAGTGTAATCTAAACTGTATAGCACCAATGTGGGACACCATTAATGACTGAGAAATTCGAGTACGGCTACGGCAAGTACACACACGCTTCCTAAACTTGATGAAGAACACGTTACAGTACTGGTAGGTCAGAAAAGCTAGAACGCAAAACACTGAAATCCTATTACGCCCCAGCGCATTCATCAGTTTATTTTACAACTTATGCTTGTTTATGGATTTTAATTTTACAACCTCTTACTATGTCAGTACCACCTGTTCCATGATTACTCCAAATCATTCCTGTGATTTACTGAAAACTGATTCGCAGGAATTTTTTATAGACTAATTGCGCAGCCATACCACTAATTGCGTAAC